TGAAAATCGGCGGTTAGCCGCGGTTTTACCGATCCGGTTACCGGCTCCCATTACCGCAGAACGGATAAATACCGCGGTTTACCGCAAAAAATGATCCGGTATCCGCAACATGGGACAACTGCCACAGAGCCTACACAGACCGAATACAAATGACAAGCAAGTTTCTCTATTTAGGATGATTAATCAGAAAAAAACAATAATAAACATTTCGAAAAACAATTCCTAAAAATAATTAATTAATATATACTTTCAAAATAAATACAAACATATCACACTGATTCAGAATTTAATCCAATCAAATTTCCAAAAACCTTCTAACTTTCTTTTTTTTCAGATATATCTCTACAAATAATTACAAAAAAAAATGAACATTCAAACATGGGAAAACAAATCTATAGATAATGGTAGCTGTTCACACTACAGTTATTCGAATTTATCAACATTTATATACGAGTTATTTTAATTCTATATATATGTCAGATATAAAATAATCCTGTAGTATTTTTGTAAAAGAATTATTTAGATTCAATTGCCATCTGATAATTCCTTTGGTTAGGATGAAATTTATAGATAATGGTAGCTGTTCACACACCCACACCCACACCCAAAATTTCAGCTTATTTTTTGTAAAATAAGTACAAATTGTCTTGTTTTACCTCTCGTATTTTCAAAATAGTCGTTATTACCGATATTATTTGATATTCCTAGTAATTCTGGTTCAAATATTTTCGTAACTTTTCTATTAACACTAATACTCACTATTTCCAGAGCTACAGTAGCACAAGATTTATGTTAAAGATCCAAGTGATTAATAGTAATGAAGTAATCTAAATTGAACGTACTAGACACTAGCTCACACTCTGTTGCCTCCCCATGTCATAGAAATCGCGCTAAAATCGGCGATTTAATCGCAATATGTTAGTCCGATAATCGTGAGATTATATCGCGATTAAATCGCCAAAACTGTCGATTTTTGCCGATTTTTTTGCCGATTTTGATNATTCTGAATACATACTTCCCATTGTATCCCATGTCCAGCAAAATAAAACAGGACTATATAGTTAGATTGAATTGAGTCTTCAAAATCCACAAGAACATGTTTCAACTGATTGCGTGTTTGATCCAAGTGTTGATCAGCAGTAGTAAAGCGGAAACGTTGTAAGAGAGATGATAATGCTTTCGCATCATTTTGAGGATTCTGTAATTTTTGTATATTTTCATAATCACCGATACCAATCACAAGCGCTAACCTACGTCGTGACTCAGATGTAAACTTGGCCGCCATTAGAAATAATCCCAATCTAGAATATGAATCGATTATCAAAAGCTAAATCTAGATACGAAACTTGACCTAATTAACTATAAATATATTGCAGTGGTTTGAGATTTTTCACTACGATTTTGTCATATTTATTATGCTATAAACAAGAATAGTATCGAAACTTTCGAGTCGCCTTTAAACCATCACGAGATCGAATATAATGAGTATCAAAGAAAGAGATAGGGTCATGTATGTGTAGTTATTTCTCCGCGTCCGTATTTTTCTTTTGAAACATTGTAATATGAAGTTCAGATAGTATTTATTGAATTATTTAGATGGCTATGATGGGTGTGTGTGCGTGGTTATGAATATGATACAACACACACGCCCATCGATTTAATTTTTAAAAAAAGTTATAGCTAAGACAAAATTCTAAGTCGAGAATGAATCATGCTTGATTCAATATGTTTTGATTAACAATTTATTTGACAAATTTATAGTCGTTGAAAAACAAAACAAGTTCCGAAAAAATAGAATTTATCGGGTGTCCACCGGAAACAAATCTTACAGTACCAGCTCATAATATTACGTGTGCTGGGTGATAGATTTTCCACGCACCTGTGATCAAAAGACACCCTGTATGAACTAATCTGAAGTTTTCTCTTTATAGTTTTTCGTCGACTTCTAAATGAGATGAGTCCCACATTGAAGTCACTTCATATCGCCGATACATTGCTCTGTTGCTGAAATGTTCTTATCTTTATTAAGTGACGAAACTTTATGAATATAAGGTAAACTTAAAGTTTGTTTTTATTCTATACCATTCAAATAGCCACATCAGCAGTAGGATTGATTTCGAACTAAAATTTTGTAATGTATAACGTTAGTGTCGACTCAAAAAGATTTTACAACTGCTGGCTAAAACTTTCTATTCACAAAGAAACATAAACTTTATTTTGTGAAACACGACCTGAAAGTAGTGTTGAATAGGGGTGTTACTTTATATTTACTTTACTTTTTAAAGATAAATAAAACCTTTATATTTAAAAAATAAAGATAAATGAAATCTTTATATTTATAAAATAAATAATGAAGAATTTATGAAATCTTTATTCTTTAAAAAATAAAGATAAATAAAATATTTATATTTATAAAGTAAAGATAACGATAATCTTTATCTTTATAAAATAACGATAAAATAAAGAATAAAGAAAAATATTTTCCTTAAAAAACCAAAATTTGGTCATCTCCCGATAGCTCGAAGAAAATTAAGAAGTTCAAGGCTAAAAAATTTGAACACTAAATTTTTTCCATAAGTGACTTATGCCTCACCCTCACTTGCTAGTATTATTTCATACTGCAATGTCAGTGATGATAAGCAAGAACTACAATCAATGTTTTCTGTTGTTATACAAATTATTTATCTATTTACCAGTGACTGCAGAAAATCTTTCTTTTTTCTTTATTTTAACTTTATTTTTACAAATAAAGATTATATTTATCTTTATTTTATAAATATAAAGGTTTTATTTATCTTTATTCTTTAATATAAAGATCAATAA